CACACTGCCCTCCAAGGGGCACACTGGCTGGCCTCCCAGGCCTTCTTCTGAAATCTGGGTGAAAGCCTTCTTAACCTCAGAACTCTTGCATTCTGAGTGCTCCCAAAGCCAGTGTCACGTGGATGATGCCAAGGTCTGCTGCCACCTGGAGAAGTAGCCAGGCTTCCTTCTCTCTTGGCTGTAGGGGTAGAGTGCCTGGAACATTGAGCATTCAGCTCCTGATTCCCAGGAATAAATTATCCACATTGGTGCCATTCTGGAACCTGGTGTGGCTACTGCCTCCATTATGGAACGTGGGGCTCAGTGGCTTTCCCCTCAAGGCAAAGTCCCTCACCTTTGCAATTCTGAGGCTGCAAAGGGTAGAGCCCTGCTGCCTTCAGTGATGCCCTCAGGCCATCCTTCTCCTTTTCCTTCTTGGCGGTGGAGATCTTTGCAGCTCTGCCTTTACATTCCACAGCTTTACTGGGGCTTCCTTTCTTTCCAAACTTACAACATTTTAAATCATCCTGTTGGGCACTTTGCTCTTGATTCTCAAAATAAATCTTACTAAAATCCACCAACAGTAGCCATGCTACTGCCTCAATATTTGGCTGCTTTGAAATTTCTTTTGAAAGATTAATCAGTCTGCCATGCTTAATCTCAGCCTCAGGCAAAGTCTCTGGACACAAGCAAAATGCAGACAAACTTTCTGCCACATCATAACACAAATCATCCTGAGTCTAACCAGCAATTCAGTCCTTCTTCCCAGCAGAAGCCTCCCCAGCCTGGCTTTTACAGGCAGGATTTCTGTCAGCCTTCTGTTCTGAGTTTTGACTAGACTCTCCCATACAGAACAGCTGAAGCTGTTTTAGCAATTCTTTTGTAGACAGCAGCTTTGAACCTTTCCCATCTCTTCTCATAAGCCATTCCCAAAAGCTTGTAATCCACATGGTCAGGTTTAGTCACAGCAAAGACCCCACTTTTCTGGTACCAAATTCTCAGTTACTGTTCTCTCATTGCTGAGACAAATACCTGACACTCAAAAATTAGAGAAGGAAAGGTTTATATAGCTCACTGTTACTTGGGGGTGTCATTCCACACTCAGCTGACTCCAAGGCAGACTGGCTCATGACAGAGAGCTAATTTTTTTCCTTCCTGGCGCTGGGGACCAAAATCTGGGCTTGACCCCAAGCTATAAATGCAGCCCTTAGTTACTCTGACACGGGGACCAGCAAGTCATTACTTTGCCTAGGCCGGGTCTAAACTTGTGACCCTTCTGCTTCAGCCTCCTAGAATGCTGGTAATTGCAGGCACGTGCCACCACAGCCAGTTTCTTCTACTATTTTTATACTTAGAGAAGGTTTAAAACTTTGTTTTTTTAAATATTAATAACTCTTCCTAATTACAAGGAAAGCAAAATAGATGTGATTTTTGTTTTTGTTCTTCTTTTTTATGTATTTGGTACAGGGTCTCACTACACAGCTCAGACTTGTAGCAATTCTCCCTTTTTTGGCCTCCCCAGTGCTGAAACTACAGGTATGCGCCACCATTCCCGGACGTGGTGGCTGGCTCAGTACACCTGAGGTGGGGCCAGCATGCATTTGATGCCAGGGGTTGGACCCTGGTCCCAGCACCTGCGTATGTGGGTGCTTAGTCCACTGAGCTATTTCACCAGCTCTGGTTTTTATTCTCACTGAATTTATGGACTCTAGAGGATATATTGTCATATAAATATAGAAATACCCATTGTCTTGTTAGTGGAATACTACTTGGTGTGTGTGTGTGTATGTATATATATTTTATTTATTTATTTATTTATTTTTTGTATTTTATGACAGGGTACACAGGATGCACAGGGTCTCACTGTGTAGATTGGACTTGTAGTGATCCTTCTGTTTACAGTCCCCCAAGTTCTGGGATTACAGCCGTGCACCACCATGCCCAGTCTGACATTTAACTATATTTAATAATATGTGCAGGATCATATATATAGATGATATGATTTCATTCATTTCTTAACAGTCAAAAATAGAATGCTAAACTATAAATTAAAAAAAAAATCTTTAGAACAAACAACAGTTCTGTGATTTTCAGGATATTTAAAGTTTACTCTAAAATCACACTTTTCTCTTTCACCAGCTGGCAAATTCCTTAAGTGTTCTCACCAGAGTTGAGCTGGTTAGTGACAGATTATGATATTCCAGATCTTTAAAGGTGGCTTGTGTTTAAAGGCTATGTGTTTTGAAAGGCTGTCCCTCTCAGGTCCTTGAATCTCATTCTAAATGGAATCATCAGAATCTCCTTATGAAATGGCGTCAGGGTACAGTCTGACAGGTGGAAAATTATTTTCTCACTATTTTTTCAGACATCTCTGATATCAGATCTGTATAATCTGGAAGCAGTTGGTGCTTCCCTTGCATCTTCAGGTGAGAAGATGAGAAATGGCTCCTTGTTTTATAGCAGTGAGTTTTAGCTGGCGAGATTACCCGTAGTCCGGGACCTGCAGTGGGTTGAAACACGTGATGTGTAGATTGACAATGGGTGATCAGGTTTTTCTTGTAGTGCTGGTGACTGAGCACAGGGCCACATGTAGGCTGTGCACGTGGTCTCCCAGCTCTAGCAAATATAGTAATTATTTATTAAAAGCAAGGCAGTTCACAATTTTTTGGCTGTTAGTAGTTTTGAGAGGATAATATAAAGGGCAAAAATCCTGCTTCTTAACAGCTTTGGCAGTACGTTTATCGTGAATATTACAAGCAATACAAATTTTGGCACATTCACAGGGCCCAGCGTGTTCCTGTTCTTACTGTACACGGTATGTGCTCCCGCTGTGCCTTCCAGTCAGCCGTATTTGTACACAGCGTGGCAGCTTCCTGAAATCACACGCTGGTCCTCACTGTGGTAGATTCCAGGTCGCTCAGCCCTGTGACGGTGCTTGCGGGGCTCTTCGGGTCACTCATGACAGTGTAGTGCGGTGGAGAATTTGAGCCAGTGATCGGGACCTTCTCAGCGGAGATGAGGCCAGCCTGGCATGCCTGCTTGTGCCCTCACTGTGAACGAGTGTCCTCAGAGTCTGCTCAGAGCCACGTTGTTGGCATTTGTTCCGTGCTGTGAAGTGCTGCGGAGCCGCAGGCCTGAGAGGCGGCGTCGCTGTGCAGAGGGTGCTTGCACGGCGCGTGAGCCGTGCTGTCGGCTGCTCTCCTCGTGCTCAGAGCGAGCGCAGGGCAGTGCAGCGTGCGCCCCTGGCCTGGGACGCGGGGCACTGCCCCTGCAGCCAGTGCAGGCCTTGTCGGCCATGGTCAGGGTTTGGGCCCCTCACCGAATTGTTTCGGAATGCGAAAAGGGACACCTAGCTTTGCAGCCACCACTCCGACAGTGACGAGAGAGGCTCGAAGGGAGTGTTGTGCTCGCCCCAGCCCCATCTTCGCAGCAGATTTGGGCCTAGCAAGCGACAGGGATGCAGGCTTTGTGTTCTTCATCTTTACGGCAACAGTAAATTCCTCCATTTTGCAGGGAGGAATTTACTAGTTAAATGACTCTCCTAATGTAATAATATATCTAATTAATAGTCACACTGATAGAAAAGATAGCATTTCAAAGTGCAGTGCTGGCACATAGTAAGCATGGTGTTTGATTATTCTTTATTGTTTGTACTCTTGCCCTCTCCATTCAGTACATTTTAAGAAGCAGCGTGCCGTGCATAATGCCAGGCTTGTGACGGTGCACGCCTGTAATCCCAGCACAGGAGGCTGAGGCAGGAGAATCGTTGTGAGTGTGAGACCAGCCTGGGCTGCAAAGTGAGCTCAAGCTAGCCTGAACTGCATAGTGGGCTCTGTCTCAAAAAGATAACAGACAAACAAAAAACAACATGTAAAGTGTATAGATAAGAACTTCTGTGATGCTCTAGCGTCTGTCCTTATTTAGCAAATCCAAGAGGTCTTATGGACTTGGTGGTTTCTCTTAGACCACTGAATGCCCTGTTGAATTAAGGTGACACTGGTCACTGACAAGTGTTGTCTCTTGGACAGTATGGTGGGTAAAGAATGGACAAGGGAATTCACACTGCCACACTGGAGCTAAGAAGCAGCATAACTTCATTGATAACCAGACTGTTGCAGAACATGGAGTACCTTTCTGAGGTTCATGAAGCACATAACCATTTTCTTTTCTTTTTTTTTTTTTTTTTTGCGGTACCAGGGATTGAACTCAGGACCCTACGCTTGCTAGGCAAGCACTTGTTCTACTGAGCTATCTCCCCAGTCCCCCATTTCACTTCTGTGTGAATTAAATGGATTTTGGGGGTGTCCAGGGTGCAGCAATAGCAAGCATATGTCAGTTGTCAGTCTCTTGTTTCTCTCTGAGACATGGACTTCTCCTCTGCTGCTCTGCCTAGTCATGTTCTGTCACAGTGAGAAATGGACAGATCTGTTCGGAGCAGGTCTTTTCCAGGAAATTGCCGTGGGTGCTCTCTAAGCCTTGGCTCTCTGTTTCCAAGCCTGTAGAGCATGGCAGCTGCTGGGCCTGATACTGATTGTTTTATTATTATAAACAATAGACTGTATCACTACTGGACTGAAGCAAGCCTGCAGTACTTGTTCGTTTGTTGTGGTGCTGAGGATGGAAACTAGATAGACCTCAGCATGCTGGGTGAGTGCTCTACCACTGAGCTGCCCTCGCAGCCCTGTGCGTGCTGGTAATAGCTGACACTAGCCTCCCCAAGCGCTACAGCCTGGAGCAGTGGCTATGAAGTGTCAAGGAGGATGGTCCCCCACTGTTCCCCCAAACTCAGAAATGAGAACAGTGGCTGGACTTACTATTAGGAAGTCAAGAGAACGTACTTGAATATTTGAAATCTTTGATTCAGAGAGAATAATGGAACAAAGGTGCATGTGTTGGTTTACACCCATCTATTGAAGCTTTTCTTCTGAGAACGCCTTGGCATTTTGCTCTGAATGCTCTGCTTGTGCGCAGCACGTGTCCAGGGCGCTGCGGCATTGCTCCCATGTCTCTTCTGTCCGCAGGGTGATTGAGCAGCTCGGGGGGAAGCAGCTGGTGATGAACCACATGCATCACGAAGACCAGCAGGTCCGCTACAACGCCCTGCTGGCCGTGCAGAAGCTCATGGTGCACAACTGGTAAGCCCCCCCCCACCCCCCCCCGTGGGCCTGCGCGCTCGCTGCCGCCCCAGAAGCGCCTCTGTGATGCTCTTATGCAGGGTTGCTTTTAAAACCAGTGATTTTGATGAAAAATCTAGAAACATTTTACTGGTTTAGAGAAGTGACAAAATTTTGAAAAGATGAGCTGTACTAATGGTCTAAGAAAGGTACACTCAAAGTACCAATATTACAACTCGAGAAGGTAACTAGTAAGACCAGTGTGACACAAATGGTTTAATCTTTTTTTCAAATTGAATAGAATATACTTGGATGACTGATTAATTTGTAGTTTTCTTTTTTTTTTTTTTTGCTCCGAATGCCTTCAGGGCACGTTTGGCTGGCTTGAGTTATGGGGATCAAACCACAGCAACCTGAGCCTGATTGCTTTGTTGAAGTAACCACTTAAAGAACTGAGCTAAGGGGCAGGCCCCCAATTTACAGTTTTCTTAAATTTAACTATTTAACATATGGTTAACCTGGATGAATTTTATCAGTTCACATAAAAAATTAAAAATACTTGGATTTCACTTATTACAGTCTTTTGCTTTTGAAGCAAAGTCATGTCTTTATTTTGTCTGTTCTTATTTTAAATCAAGATTATTGACCTTTTGCATCCACTTACAATAAAGATAACCTGCTGAGACATAAGTATGGTGCCTGGTGTACAAGGTAGAGGCAGGAAGGGCGTCCTCTGGCACGGCTGTTTTCAGGTGTAGCTTGACTGTTCAGTGCTCTCCTTTGAGCTCTTACCCCTTGCCCTACTGAAAGATGCTTTGCTTTTGTGCGGCTTTTGTAATGGCCCTCTGGACAGGTACAAGTGCCCACAGAAGGTGCTACCAGTACTTTCACAAGAAAAATGAATGGTGCTGTAGAAGGGGCACATTTGAAGATACAGGCAAGTGTAGTGTGTGAGACTATTAAGGAGGATTGCTGTGGTGTCATGTATTAAATTTATGGTCCTGCCACTTAAGCACATTTCTCATAAATACTGGTATTTATACATTCTTGGATTTGCTTTGTACTCTGTTATGGTAAATGCTGAGCTGAAGATAG